GAGAGAGAGAGAGAGAGAGAGAGAGAGAGAGAGAGAGAGAGAGAGAGAGAGAGAGGGAAAGACGGAGGTGAGGAGGAGGGGAACGGGACCGTGGAGGGACGAAGAGATCCTCGCCTCCTGGTACCTGCCCTGCTGCTGCTGAGGCGACGATGGCCGCCGTGCTGCTGCTGCTGTCCTCGCTCGCTGCGCTAGCTCGCGCTGCTGCTGTCCTTCCTCCTGCGCTAAGAATAACGGTCAAATGGCGCTCTGGCGCCGACCTTACCGCACCGCGTAGAATACCGGTGGGTCGATAGCCTCACTGAGGCTGGACCGGTACCTTTGTACCGGTGGGCAGAGGTCGGCCTCTATGCTGCGAGGCCGGACCGTGCCCTGAACCGTCCAGATGGACGGTTCAGCCCCAACTGGCGCGCGACAGCCTCAAGAGCGCCGCCAAGCCCAAACGGTAACATCGTTTGGGCCGGCCCGTCGGGTCTGGTCCAAGGTAAGGCCTTTACGGCCTGTAGTACCCCCAAGGTCGGGCCTTTGGCCCTACTGTGTCCCTCTACCCTATGTCGGGTCCGGTAGGACCCGTGTGGCGTCGAAGATGTAACAATACCCCTTCGACCACGAGAGTTGAAGAGGACGGTTGACGGAAAGGAAAAAGAAAAAGACAGACAAGCTTGAAATGAGCAGCGCGTGCCTCGACGCCACACACTGTAGGACTGGGAAAGCGTCAAATTATTAACCCCCCCCCCCCAACCACGGAGGCCAAAGGGGGGAAATAGGCAGAAGAACCGTCGGCACGATAAAAATATAATTAGGGAATAGAATGTCGACGGGCCTCGAGCTCATCGACATTTAAAATTTTTCGTAAGTGGGTCAGTAGCTCAGCAGGGATGAGCCTACTTTGAGGGTGGTGACAGGCCCTCAGGTAGAAGGAAGTTGTACCCTCGTGGAATCCTCGCGGAACCTTGACCTGTCGCAAAGGGGTCGCGAGAAGTATTTGCTGGCTCGCACGGCTGGAGTGGTGTTTGGTTTGATGGCGAAACACTCCTGCGTGACACAGCTGTGAAGGTCCAACACACGCGACCTCATGCGGGCCGTGCGCTGGGACAGCGTGCTCTCTCTCTCTCTCTCTCTCTCTCTCTCTCTCTCTCTCTCTCTCTCTCTCTCTCTCTCACACACACACACACACACACACACACACACAC